CACCCCCAAAACAAAATCAAGACTTTGTAAAAGAGCATAATAAGATCCCTTTAAAACCAGAGCTGCGTTAACCACGTTATGCACGTAAGGAAATACTATACTTACTACACAGTATGCAACTGCGTTCTTTATAGGAGTATGCTAGGCTACTGAAAAAAACAAGTGGCTGCAGAATTTACTGTCATCATGTCTAACGTTAAATGACATCAATTTCCAAGCCTAGAAAGCAACAGCTGCTTGCAAGGCTCGCACTATTCAGTGTGCATGTCAAGTGCACTCCAGCACAAGTCACTCAGCCACACACAAACATTACAGCCACAGGGCAGGTTTTTCTTTACCAGACCAAAGCTGTATTTAGGCGTCAGCGGACATCCCTCCTTAATTCTTCTGGAGAAAAACATTACTTCTGCAGAAAGCCAAAAGACATGCAGATGTATATCCACTGTTAAGTATCCACATGGACCCACGGAGGCACAGACACTCTTAGAAGTGAACTGGAGTGAACTTTGTGCTGTTTATATCCTAGAGGGACCAATGGGATGGCAGGGCAACTGAAAAGCATGAACTCATGTGGCCTTCCCTCTGGCCAGCCCAGCTAAGAGGCTGCACAGGGCTTGAGTCATATTTTATAAAAAGTCAAATAGCTATCTGGAAGACATTATAAATAAACATGCACATTTATATAGCCTAGAAGAAATCCTCTTGAGAGCCAGCAAAATACAATAAAATGAAAAAAGAAAGAAAAAAAAAATTTAAATAAAATAAAAAGTTAAAATAACAGAAATGTTAAAAAGATGCAAGAAAGCAAGCAAGAAAATAAATACATTATAGGGTTTTACATTTTTTAATTAAATATTTAAATCCCTGCCACATAAGAAAAGATTAAAGATTTTAAAGATAATACAAATATATTAATATATTACCTTAACAGTATTTCATTGTTATATAACATTGGTATTGTCATTATGATATGGTGTTTTCTACCAGAACCTAAATGTACAATTGTACAAATAGTCTGAAATGAAGATATTAATCATTCAAAATTATTGGGCAATTAACTATCATGTTTTTTATCTTCTTCATTGAGTGTTTACAGTAATTATCATTGACTATAAAACAATAAAAAGCATAATTTACATTTATCAGTCTTGCTCACTGGAGTCTTTAAGTGGTTTAAGAGGGATGA